TTGATAGATTGAAAGAGAGAGGTGTTGAACCGCCATCCAAAAGAAGTTGACCAGAATAAAGTTAATTGACGTAGTAGATACGAAGAGAAAGTTGGTTTTGATGAATCTCCTGAGATAACATTGTTAGGGGGACCTTCATTTAGAATGAAAGTGCATGAAGAAGAGATTCGTTTGTCGATCTCACCAGATAAGGAAGGATGAAACTCGTACTGCAGCCGTTTGGCTTTGATACGATATTCATATTGACGCAGACCACAAGAATTCCTCCCTCGTTTCAGGTGAAAACCTGCTGAGCTTTCGTCCATAATATCATGGACATCATCAGAGCTGGGTGCCATTCTTGTAAAAGTCTCACGTTAAGACTAAAGCAAGAACACTATCCGGCTCTATCTTACTTCTTATATAGACTCAATCGAGCCAAAAAATTAAAAACCTAGATAGACCGATATTGAATGGTTTGGTTAATTTTCTTTAATACTGGTTCTGTTATTTTTGCTCGATTGTATGAGTATGTATATTTGTGCATATTAGCGTCTATATGCAATACGGTTCCTAAATCAGACTTGTCAAAGGTTAAATCTCATGTTCTGATCCTCAAGACCTAATAACCCAAGAGAAAATCTTTGAACGAGACTGCCTAGGTCCGTAAATAATTATGGTTGAGATAATAAAATGAGATTGTAAGCATGATAATCAAGTTACGAAACCATTTGTCCTAACATTTCCGTCAAGGGTCATTAACATTTAACCCTTAAAGGAAAGGCAAGACTAGGGTTGCGTAATCTGACATGTCTGGTTGTTTAAAGAGCTTACTCTAACATTTTGGGCGAATGTGAATGAAATTAGAACCATCACTGAGCGGACAAATTGAGTCGCCTTCTTTTTGAAGGCGGCTCAACACCCTCCCTCTCTTGCAATTTATTAATCAAGCATAAGTAATTCCTACTCAACTTTTTACCACCGTTTTTCACATTTAACGTATTTCCTAATCTATTAATTTCAATAGCCTCTCTTATCTTTCTTTAAACAGACATACTGTAATCAGCATGGCCAGTTTCTACAATGTGTACGACTACACGGTTAGGATTTCCGATACTTGATCAAGTATCGTGTGGTTTAGTTAAAACTAGGCTCAAGGAAAGCATAACCAAACTGCACATATTAATTAGAACAAAAACCAAGCTTAGACAATCTTTCTCTGAACTATTGATTGATATGGATTTAATTAAGTTACAAGACATGGTTGACGGGTTAGGAGAGGCGATTGACAGAACTACTTGTCGGATGCATGATAAGAGGCTCCGGAATTTATGAATTAGAATAAGGTCTAGAAACTTTGCACCTAGGAAAAATCTTACTAACCCTGTTTATGACAAAATGGGGAAGGATAAGGTAATCAATTTATCTGGTACAACTCTGGGGGACAGTGTAGTACTTTTATTGGAAAGAGGACTGAATTTTGGTCTTTCAAATGAGGTAAACCATTCTCTGGAAGTACTTGTTGAATTAATTAACTTATCTTATAGATTAACTAAAGAGGTAAGGAATAGTATTGAACTGGAGGTGATCCCTCATTTTGACCATATAATACCATATAAAAAGATTGCTATATTAAAAATATTTCTAGATATCC